CTAAACGCTAACCAAATCCACAAGCTTGTAACTTCTGTCGCTCATTCACCATTACATATTCCCCATACGTAAACCAATATAGTTCACACTTAACCGTTTATGATTTATTTTACACTTCAGAGACACCATGATACAGTATATAACAAAAAGAAACAAATAAGTACAGTAATACAGTATGAACAATAAAGAAACAGTTACACTACTAGTGATCTTTTGTTAAGGGTGGGGAGGGAAATTCTCAGATGATTCTTCTCCTTAATGCAATTACTCAATAGCAAATATTTGTGGTTGGGAAACTGTATAATAGATGGCTATGAGAAAATTTTAGTTGATTGAAGAACACGCTTATAATCGGCGTGAAAACGATCTAAATTTATCTGAGGTAGGAACTCTGCGCCTTTTCTCCTCACTTGTGTTAATCCTGCATGTATCACAGAACTTCTGCGGTCAATAGAGAAAACTTTTTTTAATAAAACTGTGCAGCTCAAGGGAGGTTCTCCTCCCCTCTTGAGCAACTTCATCAGCTCTCCTCTCTGAGCAGCTAGCGCACGCTGTAATCTCTCAACGTTGACTGGCGGAAGCCTGTGAAAACGAACAAAGCGAACCAATAGATCTTTCTCTGTTATCCCACCGACGCATGTAATCTAATTGTTTGTGTTACAATTAAATCAATTTTTACAAATAGTTTATCTGTTATTTCTCATTCGAAATATGTATGAGGTACCACTGAGACAAACAGAAAAATCACAGTACAACTCACTTAAGCTCTGAGATTTTGGCAAGAATTTTTATATAAATTATTTTTATTTTTAAATAAGAAGTCACACCTCGAACTTACGAAAATACGTTATTTTGGTAACAATCACCTCCCCTTAAACAAGTCTTTTCTAATCGAGAAAATTACGGCTTTACTAGATATATTATAACTCAAACATTTAAATAATGAAAAATGACGGGGGTTAAGCGATCATTCTATTGATTTAATTTTATTAAAATTCATTGTTCATACTATAAAACCGGTTAATAATAGCAACAGATAAAACATCTGAGTTCTCCTGCCTTTCATTTAAAGCCAAATTCGCTTAAATTTGGCTCAATGGACAGCTCAAACCAATTGTGTTTTAAATATGGAGATTTTTGTAATTTTTTAGTGTTAAATGCTTTAATGACTATTTCCAGAACTATATCATACTTATAAACGCACTTTCTTCTATTCAAGCACACAATTTCAAGATTCATGCCATGTTTTTTGCAGTAAAAATCTTAGATGTGCCTGATGGTGGCATGTTGTTTGTATCAGATTTTATTTCTATATTGTCTTTATTTCGTTTATCTGTATTATATTAGTGGTTAGAATAATAATATTCACAATGTCTTCACAGCACACATTGTGTCTTTAAACAACAGATATTTTCAGGAAATATATCTTCAGCATTGTAGGAAGACGCCTAAAAAAATGAACTTTTGCAATTTTCGAAAAAGTAGGTATTTGAATGAAAATGAAACCTGCGTCATACTTTTAAGCATTCTTTACGGTATCTGAGGACAAAGTTTAATCTAAAAATGTGTTGCTACTTTTGAGAAAATTTTGAGAATGCTGAGGCTTCAAGTAAAGTACCCTCAAATATCAATATATCCCCTTGAAACTTTCAAAGCCTCAAGTTCGTTCAGATCGAAAGGGGAATATCAATTTTGGAGAAAATCGGCTGAACGGGTTAGGCGCTTGTGTTTGACCACAGGCAGACGGACGTTTGACCACAGGCAGACGTTTTGCATTCAATTGATTTTTCTATATTTCCATGGATTGCTTACGTTTTATTATATATAAGTGATCCAAAATTGCTTGTACCTCCTCTTCATCTGCACAAATAATCACCATCTTTGGGACAGTACTAACACACATTAATCCTGCCGTGTAAGTAATAAAAAATTGAGGTCCATTTATAAAATAATTGTTTAATAATTGCCTATATTTCAAGCCAAATTACGAGAAAACACCTCACATTTTTGAAAAAAAAAACCAACATGATCTAAAGAAATCTTTGAAGGACAGATTTCATTAAGGAAACGATCTTTATCTTCAATATTTTAGTTGTAGCAAGTTAAGTAAACAATTAACAATTACAAAAAATTAACTTAAGTAATTTTCGAAAATTTTGAAAGTTTGACGAAAATTCGACCAGCGCCATTTTTAAACGTCTTTTGATGTATTGGAGAAAAATAGGTCATTAAAAAATTTGGAGCCATTCATAGCAAAATTTTGAAATGTCAAGGTTTTATGTAAAGTACCCCCAAATCAAAATCCGTGTCAAATTGAAGTGGCCGTGAAATCAGCTAGATCCTTGAAAGAGGCGCATCTAGGCGTCCTTTTGGCAAGTCCCGGACTTTGCGTCCGTCAGGTTACTTCAAGTTATGGTTGTTGTTATTTGCTTTTGCCAGTATACTCTAAATACCGCCCCTTGTGAGAGGCGCCCATGGCACGTTCACGTCTGCTATACTACAGTTACGTCTGATCCTTGAGATTATCAATTTTGAAGAATATCCTTTCTACGGTTTATCCTCTGTAGTTGTTCACAGATAATCGAACGAACAGATACCGAACTAGTAGTGCTACAACAACACGAACTTTCTGGCATTGGTAAGAGTTTGTAAACTTATAGCACCGCAATTTCTCTCCATATCAACAATCTCATCCATCTATTGTAAAACTTATTACCAATCGTATCACATTAGGCATGAAAACCTTCATTTAAGCAAAAAAAATCTGCAATCCGAAATTGCGTTCAATACCCACAGAAACAGTGCTCAATAATATGTTATTCTGAAAATTTCAGTGCCATGTCCCGGAGTTGCCATTTATTGCGATCTTATAACTCCTGAAAGGTTCTAATAAAATAAGTGAGGGGAAATTCGAATTGCGAAAATTGGGCGAAATTACTCATATTCAAACAAATGTACATGGCCTAAATTAAAGATGTAATTTTGAAGAACATTTTTAATTAAATAAATTAAAAACCTCTATTATCAGTATTAAAATTTTGCCATGTCAATATTCTGCATTCGAAAGTACTGTTTTCACGAAAAATAGGACGTTCACCATTTTTATAAACGTAGTTTGCTCAATCACATAAAAAAATAATGAAAAAAATATAGTGTTTTTTGAAAAAATCTTTATTAAAGAATTGCCTATATTTCAAGCCAAATTTCAAGAAATCCATTCAGATTTTTGAAAAATTGCAGACAGCCTTATTTAAAGACCTAAATTTGTAGACCAGATTTCATAAAGAAAAATTTATCTCTAACATTGTGGTTGTAGGAAGACGCAGAAACAATTTCAAAGTTTTGCAATTTCCAAAAAAGTTAGTAAATGCAGCGAAAATGATAAGTGCCATTTTTATAAGTTTCTTTTTTTCATTAACATTAAACAAAAGATTTGAAGCCATTTTTGGAAAAAATTGAAAATATAAAAGCTTCATGTAAAGTATCCCCAAAAATCAAAATATCCTTTCAAAAAGGGTCATGACATCAACAAGATTGATGGGGAAATATCAATTTGGGCAAAGAACATACTTTTACATACTAGCGTTCACACTCAGGCGGGCAGGCATATGGACAGGCAGGTGGACAGTGTCTGCAGCACCACAAGTTTCCTATTGTAGAAAAGTTTTACATTCATTCATGCAGAAAATTAAATATTTCAAAGCAAACATGTTGTCATTTTTTTAAATTCATTGTAATATTACTTGTGGAATCTGCATTTGTTAGGTTGCATACAAAGGGGTGTAATTTTCAGCAACCAAAATATTTATATTTACATATTACAGAATGTGAGAAAAATTTGACAAACCATCCATATCCTTCAGTTCTTTGAGATATTTTATATTTGAATTGCTGAATGAAGGCTTTCTTAGAGGCTTCAGAAAATAGATTAATATCATTAAGATACAATTGAATATCAATGTTCATTCTACTTCTTCTTCTTCTTTTTCTAAGGCTCTAGGGCCTTCAAATGAACGTCTTGGTCTACTTAACTATCCTTTTCCATTTTTCTCCTATTCTTCGAGTGTTTGATCCAATTTCGAATCTTCATGTTCTTCATGTCATTGACATCATCTTTCCATCACTTTTAGGCCGTCCTCTTCCCCTGATGCTCATTGGATTCCAGCTAAAAATCTTGTTTACTGTTCTGTCTTGCAACATCCTATTAAGATGACCAAGCCAACTTTATCTCATGACTTGGATAAAATTTAATATGTTTTTGTATACTGTCCAGTTCTAATCCACCAATCTCTATTTTTACTGGTCTAAATATCCTTCTCTTAATCTGTCTTTCAAAAACCGTAAGACATTGTGCATCCTTATCTTTTATAATCCATGTTTCTGAGGCAAAATTTACAACAATTTAGTCTCCAAAATCTTTCCCGGTTTACCGAAAGTTGAGTCAAGCAAGTAATATATCTAGAAGAGGGTGGCAGCCTGCAGCCATTTGTTGTGGCCCGCGGAAGGTTGTTAGTCAATAAAATCCCTTTCATTCACCTCAGGCGGGTCGATTGTGCACCTAGCTCATGTGCCCTGGTGAGGTCAACACCCCCTTTAGTATAAAAATAGGTTAAATTTAGATTAAAGAGATTTTTTTTCTAATAAATTCAGAAATTCAAAATCATCCCAGTGAGCTTCACTGCGCTATGCATGGTATGGCCTGTTATCATATTTTTCCATTCCCCTTCCCATACAGCGAAGTCAGATGAAGATCTTTCCAGTAATGCAAATATGGTCTGCAATCATATTGAAGGTCCTAGTTGTGGCCCATCAGACCCTGCAAGTTTGACACTCCTGATCTAAAAGATCAAATAAGGATGTACTTCAGCAATGGAAAGATGCCGCACCCAAAATTTGTTATCATTATGATGACAATCAATACTTTATGTACGATAACACCTATTTTTAAAGAGAGATAGGAGAGGAAAGGAATAATGGAAATTGAAATATAAACACACATATTTAATGTAATTTTAATTTATTATTATCCATTTTTGATTTAAATGAGACAGTTCAACTATTACACAATCAATTTTCAAAGTATGACATTGAGAGACTCGTTTTATTAACAAATCATGTGTTTAATCAGACAACATATTGTTTAAATAATTACAAAAGTGTTAGACTTTAGCATTTTAATCATATAAAAATACAGAAAATGGATTTCTGAATTAGAGCATCGGTAATGGGACAATCTCATTTCAATACTCTACGAATATAATAAATACGAACTTTCAGTAAATGTATATAATGTTTCTATAAAAGACTGTAAAAAATGTCAGCAGAAAAAAACACACTTAAATGTTTAAAAAAAGGTATACAATCAAGTTTTATAACAAACAAATATAAAATGCTGACAATATAATACAAAGACACATCATCAATTCATCTCAACTCTTTTTGGCAAAGTACTGGCTGGCCAGCCGGCAACAACGTATGTGGCAGGCAGCAGTTTCATGGCACAATGACACCCTCTGCCACACGCCCACCCTGTCAGTCCCCTGCACACAGCCCATTCAGGTAGCACTGCCACCCTCTTCATTCCCCAAATAACAGGACCCAGCAATGATTAATGTACCCAAAGAAGTGCTGATAAAATAATTCACAAATAGATTCCATTTTAAGAGATGTGCACTAATTTTTCAAAAACTCTTATTCATAAATGGTACTACTTTCATAGTATGCAGACATGCTCCAGAAGAGTGGTGAAGAAGTAATTTTATAAGAAAATAAAATTCAGTTGTACTGGAAATAAAAAAAAGAACAGTTTGTACAATTTCAAATTCATGAAAACTAGTACTTCAGAAACAAAATTATATGAAAAAGAATTAATATAGCTGAAATACTTATACAAACAGTCTTCTGAGTCTTTATTTTTCAATTGTCATTTGTTACACCCTAATCATCTTGGTTAGTGCCCTGTAGATACTCATGAGAAAGCAGTTCAAGATGATGGCATAACAATAATAATTTAGTTAACTGTTACAATGTTACAGACAAGACACACTTTGCAAATGAAATAATATGTTTACATTATGCAACCACCTCAAATGTATAGGGATGCACCACATATTAATAACAAACTACACAAGTACGTCAACCTTTTTAGTTAAAATTTTCAATATGTATCCAAATACATTCAAAATGACTAGTCACATTTTATTGATTATCTTGTTAAATTTTCAATGGAAATAACAGCACTACTTTGCATACAATATTATACATTGGGTACCAGCCCACCCCTTATAATTCTATGCAATATTTTGTAACATTCCAAAATGCAGTTCTACACAGAAAAGAACTCTGAAGTAATAAACACACTATTTAGCAACTATTACAGGGCAAAGGCAGGAGTAATGTTCAAAATACTGCAGGCATTTGCTAACAAGCTGCTGCGATATGTGTCACTGCCCATCAGAGGACTTTAAAATAGCCAAGAGAAACAAGTTTCTGGAAGCATCTTGCAGTCACCACCTATTCTCAATGGCAAGCAGTTCGTTCCATTTCTACGAATGGTAACCAATGCCAACCCTCTTCACAGGGCATCATGTGATACAGCAGGCAACATCTATGAAGCTTAACCCTCCTGCAATATAAGCTGCAGATCATCTTAATCATCTGCAGCTGCTAATTGCCTCTTTTCCCCACAAAATATCATCTTATCAAGTTACGAGAGAGAAACCAATGCAATGTATTTCTTGGAAATTTCTTCTGTCATTGTTATTTTCTCTACCATTGTCATTAATGAAGCATAATATGAAACACTTCTGTCCTTCAGTCCATTAATTTTAATACCATCATGTTATGAGGGTCATAAAAACATTCCTTCATTAGTAGCCGTAGATGACAAAATTTTGTGAAGGTTCACGAGGCAATTACTTGAGTTTTTACAACAGAAGTGGCACTACACGTAGAATACGAGTCGAACACATATAGCATTTGCGGCTTGACTTTAGGGAGGGACTCAATCACTGCTGCCGCGAAGTTGCCTCTACTGCAACCATATAAGTCTTATGTACAAATGATACACTATACTTACAGTCAAGCGTAACATGAAGTTACACTTCATTCACTCATGACCAAATCACACACACAAAAGTCACTATTAACAAAATAGTCCCATGACAGCAAATAAATTATCAAGTACAAAATGTGGATAAATCTGGTTCAAGACATTTCAGAAAACAAAAATTAATGTAAAATTCACATAATTCATTAAATAATTATTTTCCCATTGAAAATTTTTTGTAAATGAATACAAACAGATGAAATAAGATAAGTGGTGGACTGTTTAACAGAACTGGAAGTAGCAAAATTAATTTGCTTATATTCATAATACTTGTATTTCATGAAAAGCCTCTGAATTTTAATGTTTGGAATGATAAAGTACGCTCAAGTTCTGACTACACCTTTTTTAAGGCTAACCGTAGACCTCAAATTATTTGTTTATTGTGCTCATGTTTAGTTTCAGGAAAACATGCATATGCATATTCTCGTGCAATGTATGATTACTCACAAACAAAAAAAGTAAAATTCCACTTTAGAAGCACGACTACAAGATGAACTATAGGAAATTTAAAGGAAAAAGAAAAGAAAGGAAAAGAATTACCATTTGACATAAATACAATCCTTTTTCTTTAAAAAATGTTTCATAAAAAATGTGTGCTTTTTCTAATATGAAAGCACTTAATCAAGAATATACAAAATCAAAAGGCCTGAATTTGTACTGCTTGTCCTGAAATGATATTGTAAACTATAGAAATAAATGCTTCAGCTCACATCCTATTTACAATATATAAGCTACCAAGGGAAGAGAAGAATTTACAAAGGCAAAAATTAATGAGAATTAAAATTTCATAATATAAACATCTCTGGTAACTTCATTAAGCCTGCCGAGCCTCTTCATAATTAGTAATACAAAAAGGAATGAAGAAAGAATCTAAGGCCAAGTATATACAAAACATTGTATTCTACAATTAGCATGGATTTAGAATTTCCTATAAATGAACATAGTAGATACAAATTCATCTATCCTAATACAAGAGCATTCACTGTATAATTGAACAATGATTTGCAGAATAATATTTTGAACACATTAAAACTGAACATAATGTCAGTAATTTTTGAGCCATTTTCTCAAAGAAAACTAATATTCCTAATCAGTTCGAACCACAGTATGCTTTTCAGAATTTCAGTCCTTTTTATATTCCTAGTATACTACATTGCACAATGAAAATCTCAATAATGCATTGTAAATATGCAGTATATCAAGAATACAATACAACAGAACAAATATCCAAGTCTGTATCTAAGTAAGTTAATAGTTACATTCCTTGTATGCCACATGGCAGATAAGGTCCTGAGAAGGTTCTTCTCACCTTCTCACATTATTGTTCAATTTTTATCCTATACAACATATCTAAAGTTGCTAATTCTGTCAGTGCAGTCGTGTAGTGGTGAGATGGGTTGTCTCACTTCGCTTGGGTGGGGGCGGTGGTGGCCTTTTTTTCGCAGCAGCCACTACCATTGTGACATTTGTTGATTGAGGCCGAGCATAACACTCCTGCCCTGCAATCCCGGAAGGCGCGGCCAGCCGCGGTTTCACGGTGGCAGGACTGGCAGGTAATGCATCAGGACCTGGTGGAGCACGGTCCACAAGGTAGACATTCTCATACACATTGTCCCAGTGCCCATAGTGTTCTTGCACCCAATTGCTCACATTTGTTTCACGATAGTCAGCAACAGGGGGTGGGGGATCTCGGAAGCCTAGCACTTCATGGGGTGTAGTGGAATGGTCCAGCTTACACTTCTGGGCCACCTGCCACTTCTTCTTCATTATCCTCTGCAGATCCTTCAGAAAGTCCTTTGGAGGGGGAGTCACAGCAGAGTCAGAGTCTGATAGCTTTTTGGGGCTAGCTGTTGACAGCCTTGTGCTTTCACTACGCTTTGGTGGAAAGGGCTTCTTGGCTGGCAATGACCTGCTAGCATACGTGGGTGAAGAGGGTTTTGGTGATGAGATCACTGTTTCATCTGGGGTTACAAAGGAGATCTTTTTGGTGATTGTCCTTGTCCGTTGTTTGGTGACAAGTATGGGGCTCTTTGGTGTGACATCAGGGCCAGGAGGAGATGAAAGATTCGGGTGCATTGGACTAGAAATCACTTTGCTCTCTACTGATGCCTTACGTGCCAACATGGGTGAGCCTGCTTTAAGCTCTGCTAAGTATGGGAGTGTGGCGTAATGTGTGACAGGGGCCGGGCTACCTTCTGCAGGTTCATGATGCTGCCAGGAGCCTTGTCGAACCATGAGTGGCATTGGCTTTGGAGGAGCCAGAGGGGAAGGCATGCAAACTGGACGTACAGGTGTGGAAACTGGGGTGGACACAGGTGACAGGGTATTGGTAGGCGTGACTGTACCGGAAGTGTCAGGCGTGGAAGGTTTAGGGGGTTGCCTCCGCACAAGACCTGCATCCACACATGGGCTTGGAGGTGGAGGTAATGAGAGCAGGGATAGTGAACTTCCTCCCAGGTCAGAATAAACAGGAAGTTCAGATGGCAGAGGAGGTGGGGGTAATGAATCCAAACTCAACGTACTCTGAAACATTTCTGGCGGTGGAGGGGGAAAGGGAAGGTTATCTGTGTCACAGAGACTATTTCCTTCTGGTTCTACTGGTGATGGAAGCGACATGATAGAATCAGTCATGGACTGAGGAGGGGGAGACATTACGGTTTTTGTCTCAGGAAACCCTTCACTTCTGCCATATAAAGAAGTGGGTGATTCTAATGGAAGCTCAGCAATCTGCTCACGGATTGGAGTAGACGTGTTCGAGGATGAATTTGATATGCTACCCCCACATGCTGACGAATCCAGAGAGCTTCTTTGGTAAGTATAGCGCTTTAATGTATCGGTGTTTGAGTCTTCTGTGCTGGAAGAAAGAGCAGAACCACAAGAGCGTCGCCTGCTCTGACGGACAAGGCCGTTGCGAGTGAGGGTGCCACCACTACCTCCGCTTTTACTTGAGCCAGAGCCTGGGCTAGCACATCGATCAGAGCCCACTTCTCCATCCAAGACAGTCTCCCCTACTTCCTTCAGCTGCCGAGTAATTGAAGTCAATGGCAGCTTCGGATTCATTGATGGCTTACGTTTGATAGTGCCTGGAAGAAATTCACAAGAACAAGGTTGTTTAGGGCATAAAACTGAAGTATTAATACATAGCATAGTCAATTCTCTATTACCTAATGAACTCATTTATTGAAACACTTTGTAAATAATCAATGAAATGGTGTGGTCCTGCCATTACCTACTAAATAGAATGTGTTATTTCTCTATGTAACAAACATTAGCCTTTTAATGAATGAACTTGGGTTTTCATTTATCCCAGATAAGCTCTTCAGTGTTTAATTTGCAAGACAGCATGTTTGGTACTAGCACCAAAAAATGCCCGAATGTAAGTGAGCTCAATAAGTAAATAACCATGCTCAATATGTTATTATGTCTGACAATACAGAAGAAATAAGAAAAATTTTCCATAATCTTGGGTGTGCAGAAGTAAACAAACAGAGCTCAAAAAATTCAATATTCCCAAATTCAAAATTCAATATTCCATTCATTCCCAAAAAGAAAATAATATTATTTGTAAAATAAATTTAATACATACGCTCATTATATCTTATACATACATTTGATATACGCTCATTATATCTTATGAGAAATGTCCTTTATTATCATTTTCATAAAACTTTATAAAGAACTATAATTAACAAACTTCCCAAATGTTGGTCCCATACAATCCACTAATTTTAGAGTTCACTATCTACAGAAAAATAACACATGTATAAAAAGCGTAGAGTACAGTCTTGTAACTGTTCTAAAATTAACAAAATTATAGAACTTTGTTGAATTTATTTTTGGGCTCTACCAATTGAACATTTTTCTTCCTTAATTCACACCAGGTGCCCCCCGAAAAACAAAAGGACTGGGGTAGAAGAAACTAGGACTCTCCTTGTTTCAAATGAAAGTTCTGTTCCCCACTCAATACATACACAGAATTCATCATTTCTTGCAACAGAACTGATTTAGAGAGGTGAATTTAAATTAGAAGTAAATACATTTTTTTATGTCCTAAAATTAAAAACATTAGAGCTTCAATTAAGTCAGGACTTCAAGCTGCTCCAGCTACCCTTCCCTCTTTCTGGGCACCCTTGATTCTGACAAAAGTGAATTCACATTCATTCAAACTACACTTTTCCAAGTATATAAAAATATTTAACCCTCAAAAACGTGATTGTCGCTCCTCATACACAGGATGGTCCATCTGTCAAAACTGAAAAGAATCCCATCTTTATTGTCCTCAAACTACTGACTGTCATTTTATAGTCTTGCATTTTAAAAAAATTTTCATTATCAAAAAGCTGAGTTTGTTCATTTTCAAAATGCACAAAGACTCGTCAGTACAGAAAATCAAGATTACCAAATTATCAAATGGCACACTGAAATAATTAAAATAATAAAAACATCTTGTTCCAAATTTACAATTTCTCCAAAGTTATTCAAGTAATGATCATCACTTTCAATACAAAATTAAAATTCTAGATGCTGGTTCTAAAAGGAGAATCTTAATTATTAACATTGATTCATTAAACTTATGATAAAAATAATCCATCCCTTCATGGGATTCTCCCCAATCCATTTCAAACAAGTATTTTTGTTAATTATGTTCAGTATGTAAATTAGTTTTGTTATTTTTATACATTTAGGTCCTCTAAATTAGTTAATGCCAGAGGACTATTACATTTGCAGGAATGAAGAATTTAAAAAGAATATAGGGTAAGCTGGACCTACCAGTTGGGAACTCGCACTCAAAGCCAACTTCTACTGAAGAGGGAGCACCATCACTCAAACATCCACTAGACGATGAAGATGAAGCCCGACTTCTTCCAGAGTCCTGTCGACGTAGACGAGGTGCTCCACCAGAAGGAGCGGTGTTCAACGGTAGTCCTCCCCCAGAAGGTGTCAAATCCCCATCATCAGAACAAGGTGTGCGTGCTTGTGTTACCCCAGCAATTGATGAGACAGAATAAGAGCGTGCATTGGCCAATAAATCAATATCGTCTTGTGCCAAATCATCAACCAATGTGCGATAATTCTCCATCAGTTGTTGTCCATGCTGCAACATAAAAAGTACATATTCACCCCTTCAGAATATCCTCAAGGGCATGGGGACAAGAGGTAGTAGAGAAAACCTGATCAGAGCAACATAGCTGAAAATGAATTTCCATCAAAAATACAAGTGACATTTGTATGGTAACTTATAGTGACTACTTTTACTTTATTATAAACAGATACTTTTTATTTTATGTTACTATATTTACTTTTAATTTTTCAAGGACTTGATATTTCAAACTAAAAAGAAATAGACATTTCAAAAATTGAATTATTGGATATTATGAGATTTCAGTTACCGACAACAAAAAGGATAGGATAGTAAAGGGAAATAATTTGAGATACTATATACATTGATGTACTTTTTACATAAACTAAGAACAGTCCAGAACTATATCCCTTAATTTGTCTTTATAACGAGATTTAAAGTATATTCATTTAATAGAACATTTATTTCCTATCTTGTCCTTATCATTATCCATCATCACCAATTTAATAAATTAAAACGGGTAACAAACCAGGATTACAGTATTTGGTAATCATCACTAGTGAAATTTGAATATTTAGTCCACATGAACTGTCAATATAATTAATTTTTTTTATATTTAATTTTATTAAAATACAAATCAACAAATTAGCAATAAATGAACAATCAATGTATTTAGTTACAACAGAAGTAATACATTAAATATTTCTAATTTTCTGATGATTAAAACAATTTGACTTACCTTTGCCAATCTAACACCCATAACCCAGCGTTCCAAAGTCGCTGCGTCCTCAGCACACAAGAATTTGATGAATTTAGTAGATTTTGGCTGCTGAAGGCGAGGATGTTTTATAGCAAAGCAATGGTCTGTGGGAGCCTTATACTTCTTACGCCAACCCAATCCATAATAAACCTACGGACAAAAATTAACTGAATTTAGGAAACTTAAGTTTTTAAGAAGAAACTTAGCTTTTTTGTGTTCTTTTTGTGGCGAATGAGATTTTCATCATCAAATTTTGATGTACAACATTTCTAGTTGCAATCAATTGGAAAATTCTGACAAAATCATTAAACATAATACTATTTTGTAATACTTATTTCAATATAATCTCATATTCATTATAATTTTTTCTATTATGGCAATAGCATTAACATTAATTTCAGGACTTCAAATCTATTTTCAAGTGTATCGTACAAATATTCCATCACTTTTCACATTCAATATGGGGCTTATTGAAATAAATTCTAGAATGTCTCCTGCAGAAATTTACACAACCAACTGTTTCAAATCTAACTACTGACATATCTTAACCATTTGGCAAACACATTAACCTTTGGACTATATCTCCATCACTTACCTGGACTCTGTTTTGGGTCAGATTTGACCTCACATGCTTCACCGAATAGTTGAGTTGTATTTCATGCACAGATGCTACTCGGAATTATTAATTAAGAAAAAGATGCTATTTGTTTTATTTACCATATCACACACACACAAAAAAAAAGGATAATTTTCCATAAAAACATTCTAGCATTTACTCATAACATAGGTGTCTACCATACCAGCATAAGTATGTCTGATACATGGCTACTAGCTTGTAACAAGATAAACAAGTCAGATTGTCATTCAGAAATAACAACATAATTAAAGCAGAAATGGACATGTTTTTAAAATTTTTATTATAATTTACACATGTACCTTGGAATCTATTTGGGAGCATTTCTGATCCCAATTGCATAAAAATAAAATTACTTCAAACCAAGAAAACATAAAAATCTGAAAAGTTTACAACACATGTGAAACTGGACATAAATATAATACCTAAAAGGAGATGTTCATAGGAATAATTTTCGAAGTTGCAAAACATTATTTGCGCCTGGGATCAGAAAAGACCCCAAACAGAGTCCAAGGGTTATGGAATGTTCTAAATATTTCTGATTTATCTCAAAAATGAAATCTATTTATTGCAAACATGCTAAGAAGTGGAACTTACTTGGTTAACATCCAATGTGGCTAAGCACACCAGATCCCTTGACGATTTTGCTTTCTCTTTAGGCCAGTAGTAGAGACCAGATGCTCTTAAGACGAAGTGATACTTCTTCCAGCCCTTCTTTGATTCTGATTTCAAATATAAAGGACCCTCCACATCAGGAATGCCTACACCAGTGCTGGAGAAATATTCCTGGAACAGATCACAAACAATGATAATTCCTGTACATTTTGAATTTTAAATATGATTGCAAGGAATCCTGAGTGAATCTATGAGAGATAGAGGAAGACTGTCAAAAAGGAAGATTATAATTTACATTAAGACACAAGCAAATAACCTTATGTAATAATACGAATGGTATTACATACAACAAAAATTTATTAATATAATTTGATAATTTAATTTCGAATTTTGTAGAAGGGTTTTATAATATAATTTTAAGATGTATTTTAAACAATTCTTAAAGGATGGACCAGATCATCACTCTGATGTAGACAACCAAAAATAATATTGCAAGGAATTTTGAGTTTAGGTCAACACAAGAACAGTGATATAAACTGCACATTCTACCAATACTTTCTTCCCACATGTTAAACGATGTGATGGCCATGAAGTACCTGAAGCCTGATGCCACAATATGTGAAAGTGTTGGTAGAGTGCGGACAGGCATACAAGATGTAAATTCAAAGATGATAAAGATAAAGACTGAATAAAAGCCAAAACACTGGCAGTTTAAATCACTGTTCTTCAGTTGACAAACTCAGGAAAGTTTCTTGCTATTAATGAGGTCACAATTCAAGCACATCCAAAAATAAAGATATTAACATGGTAATGAAGTGAAGATAAATAGTACGAGTGTAAAATTTATATGGGATTATCTAGAAAAACATTCAGAAAATTTGAACAAAATAAGGATTTGTTGATCATACTTAAAGTATGTGAATTGTGAAGAAAAAAAAGAGAATACATCAATATACTCTACATACATTATTTCCACATCTGAATTTTTTGTAAGAATAATATATAAACCACACCAACACAATTTGGAATCACTCCTTTAGGAAAAAAATCTATATAGTTTCTTATCTCATGAAGTTAACCATCTGGTGGAAACATCTTCCGAACAGGCAGACATAGTTTCTATTGTTATCACTGGGAGCAGTACAAGTTCGCCAAGAGGCTTCACCCTCCTCATGTGTTCCAGTACGCATATACTCTTCAAGGACAGAGGGTAATTGCAACTTCCATTGCTAGGTAAATGTGTTTTTTTCACACTAACTAATTTTTTGAAACTAGTGATGCCTCAAGAGGCAGTTGTTCTCACAGTTTAAGGTTTTGATACTTGCTTTACATGCAAATGTTCCTATAGACGCATTATATAAAACCTGCTTCTCAAGGAGATGTATTTATTCAATTGCTTTGTACATACTATTGAAATAATTTTCTGGCACGCAATTTATGGATTTTTTTGTCAATTACTTGAAAAGGGGAAGTGGAAAAATTATGTTCCCACCAGAGGGTGAAATTGAATTTTTTTTGGAATATGTAAGTGGGTAGATAAAATTAATCAAACATTTATACAATTATTTTACATATTCTAAAAGGGACAATGAAGAAACTACTTTTATCTGTGCAAATGATTAAAACAGTTTGTAGCAAAGTTGATTTCCAAACACAAAATACCATCTCAAACTACATTTCACTTCACTGAAACTCAAGATACCAAAGCTACAAAACTAAAATACATACAATACTACAAAGCAAAATACACATGACTCATTTCATAAACATGATATCTACATGATAAATACTATGAAGTAAACATGCACGATCGTCCCCAAATACCATTTCAATAATTTCTTGGTATTTACAGTTATCAAAATATAACGGTAAACAAGTCTAAACAGATTATAATATGGAAATACAATGGAATTAGAAGAGAAAGTTTTCTGACAGACATGTAAGCACAGTTGAAGAAACTAACAACCTCTGGAAACGAATAAAATGAGTACAAATAGCAACAACTATGCTGTAATAAGGATTAAAGATTCAAAATATTACAATTAAAATGACAGAAGTCAAGAAATGGAGGTCAACGACCACATCAATAATATTTGCTTACCTCTAAGAGAAGTGAACGTGCATGATCGTCAAAATCAGCACCCCTATCAGAGGCCGAAGGAGAGAGCAAGAAGCGCTCAGGGGCTGTGAAGAGCTGAACTTTATCAGGCCGTTCAAGGAACAGAAGTCTGTTTTTCGAGTCGCGGGTCCACATCATCAGGTTTTCTACCAGCAACTCGTGATCTTCATAGACACGTTCTGAAACACAAAAGAGAAACATTTCAGACAATATTCTTCACATAATTTTGTATTCTGCATTATAAAATACATAAATAAATACAATGTCTCCCCATAAATGACGAAATGCATATATCCACATATACGTTTGTCATAATTAAAAAGACTGGACACAGAAAACTTTCTCTATTCTTACAAACAGATAGTATGTGATTTTCAGGCACAACTATGTAACTAATAACAATTATTTAAATTGTTTATCCTTAAAATGGTCCTTGAAGAACAAATGAGAAAGCAAATCTAAACAACTATTTTACAACAATCTATACAACACAACTATTTTAACATTTTAATGACAAACATGCAAAAATGAAAAGAAAAAAAAATATATCAAAAACATACCCATGAAGAGGTCAGGAAGGTGTTCCACTACAGCCCACTTGGGGTCCAGGGGGACGTGATTTTTGTCAGCTAGTAACCTGGTTACATAGGCACATGTCATTTTCTCATCCACCAGCAGGGACTTTGTGCTTCCATCTGCAGAAAAAGCCTTAATGAACAACTTCTTCACACTCGCCTCCTTCATCTTCTCCAACGCAATGCGAATCTTTTCTGCCTTAACGCGGCTTGCCTGGTCCATCTGCAACAAATTTATTTACTGCTGTTATGCTAAGTTGGTTAAGTTTTTAACACAAAAAATATGTGCACGCAACTAGGTGATAAATATAGATTCTAAAAATTCAATGTTATTGAAAGCTTCAGTAAAAAGATTGTAAACAACTTGGGAACTAATTTGCATATAATTCATAAGTATTCAATTTTCCCACAATAAAAGAGATGAAATAATAGATCATACCTGAGAGGTTTCCAGGACAAGCCCCGTTTTGTTGGGCTCTGTGCGCCCACCGCTGCCCCCACTGGAGGCAGAGCTCTCACTTGAGAGCATGGACACATTGTCAGAGAAGGCCGAATCATTGTCAGGACTATCAGTGCGCGCTGCTGGAACAAAGGACGTGCCAATTTGAAATAGGAGTTGGTGTGGGTATCAAATAACTTTATTCATTAAAAAACTAGCTTCATTTATTAATTCATTATTTATTGATTGGGACATACAAATTCAATATTTCTAGTAGGCTTAACAATAATCAAGATTTCTAAAGTTAATTTACAATAATATATGTTCGTTCTAATTATCATTGGTCAAAGTTTTCATTTCAAGGACTTAGGACAGAAAACAGATTACCTGCCACAACAAACCTCCCCCAATTCATAAATGTAATATCTTGATTTTGGTCAATGCGTGTCTCATCTAGTTAGAAACCAAGTCTTTCATAAATAGGAACAAGGTAAAATAGAAAAGGTTACCCTTTCACCAAAATAGAGATTAACGTTTATGAATAGTGGTGAGCCTGCAGTGACTGATGTGGTTAATGTTATTACAGCCCATGTTGTCCTTTCGTTTCAAATATCTTTTGTATTCCAAATAAAATTATATTCAATGTTTACCACAAAACGTTTGGTGTCAAAAAATTGTGAAAATCAGTTAAATCCATGAAAACTGTTTCTGATTGGGACATTACTTCGATAAAATTTGATGCCAAAATTGCGAGATTACTCTTTCACCAGAATTATTGTATGGCAGAAAATTCGGTGCACTCACGTGAGGGGGCGCCGGGCGGGCCCGGGGGCCCGGGGGGGCCGGATGGCACGGCCGCGGGGCGCTTGGCGCCGGGGGCGGCCGGGCCCCCCTTGGGGTCCTCGCCCTTGAGCGCGTGCGCATGCGCATGCGCGTGGGCGTCCAGCGCGCACAGCTCCCCCAAGATGGCGTCCAGGTCCACGTCCTGCGACTCTGCAACACCCACGCCACTCAGCATGCGGCCCAACGCCCCCGCCGCGAGCGGGCTCCGGGGAGGGGAACAGGAAGAGGAAGCGGAGGCGGAGAAGGAAGACGCCCGTTCCCGAAACACATGGACCTCCTCCAGGCCCCGCAGCCCAGCGACTGCCAGCGGCCGCTCCGCAAAGCTCACGGAACCCTCGTGGCGCGAGTCCGGCCGCTCCGCGCCGCACCCGCAGCTGCCGCGGCCCGCTCCTTGCCGGCAAGGGACGAGGGCGGGGGGCGGGGCGAGACGGTGCATTCACAATGCGCCGAGGGGTTTTTGTGGCAGTCGCCAGGAGAAAGTCGGGCTGGCATTCAAGGGCGGTGCGCCCGGGCACCGGGTCCTCGTCGCAGAAGGGCCAAGTTTCTTTATTGGCTGCGGGCGCTTCTATTTCAGGACCTTCTTCCCCCTTTTTAACGGTTGTGGCAGGTCAACGAAACCCGAAAGTCGTTTCCCAACCATTCGCAAAACTGTCTCCAAATCTTTAGGATTAAGATCTTAACAACCACGCATTCTTTTTTCCTCTAGTTTCAACACTAACCGCTGTACAAAACTTACCGATAGAAAGTATCATAACATTAATATACATTAAAAATGGGTCCTGCACAAGTAGTTGATACCGGTTTGAAACTCACTAGTAATTTTTTTAGTCGCAGACACGTGAACAACAATTAGCCATAGCCATACTCCGAATTCTCCTCGCGTACCGAGAGTACGCGTGGCCACATTAACAGGTACATCAATATGCGGCATAGCGTGGGGCAGGGGACGTGAGCGCCGACGCCCGTCTCCAAACGACAGGGAAATTGCGGCAATGAAAACGACCATTTGGCCATTACGGCGACTGCAGAACAGGTAAAGACACGCAGCCAGTGAAGAGAGCGAGACACGGCCCACGCCGAAGGGTGAAGGGAACGCAACGAGATTTCGAAAGTAAACGCCTGGAGTACGCGGAAGTTCGCTGACAACAGACCTGACGGCGCTGTGGCGTGAATCAGGTGCCGACTAGGGATGCGACATCGATGTCGATGTTTTCAAAACATTGACATTCTATATAAAATATCGATATTTTGAACATCGATGTATTCAAGTCGATTTTTGAACATCGATATTTTTTGCTCGATGTATTTACGTTTACGATGTTTTGTTCCTGGATAAAAACAATTTCATAATAAAAATTTTGTAAAAGTTAAAATATGAAATAATAACTGTGGCACCTCAATTTACGTGTTCGAACCACACGAACGCTGTTTGCACTGCCTTCATTGGGCAGACTGTTCCTCGCCCGAAATGATCCTGATACACTGGTAACATTCGCCTTTCCTTGAATTTCGTACACGGCAATGCGGCTTTAATCGTTTTAAGTTAAATTGTAATTATAAATTAATATACTATGTCTCCGTAAAATTATTTTTTTGTTACGTACAATTTTAATGTTAAGAGATTATTAGACCGGCTTTAGAACATCGATATATTTTTGTTCAATGCATCAAAAATATCGACATTTTAATTCTGGACATGGATGTTTGCCAACATCGATGTTTTGTTATCGATATCGCATCTCTCGTGTCGACGTAAATGTAGGATGTATGAAATTATTAATGCTCGTGTAATTGTAAATAGGTACAAATGGAAGAGTGAGAGTGCAAGTGCATTAAAAAATACATAAAAATAAAAATACACCGTGCCTGTTGTGCGTGCCCGGAGACACCACAGCCCCTGAGAAGTCTGTGACGACTCCGTTTGCCTCACGAAACGACTGTCGACGAGCGCTAAGTTGGCTGTTCTGCAGGCTAAGCCGCGCGGGCAGGCCCCGCCCCACCTGCTCTCACGCATCGCGGCCCAGGGGTGCCGTCTCCGCATTATGCGGCTACAAGGGAGGGCATTTCTTTTGAAGCTCAGTCGAGCGATGAAGGGAAGGACCAACCCGGTACTTAGGGACGACATCAAATTTATGTCAACGATACATATACGGATTAATTTTATTACAAACCTTTAAATAAAAATGATGGTTCCATACCGGTTCTTTCAGAATCAAGAAGCATACATGCCGTGTGTAATCAAAATGTCACAAGAAGCCACGTTTCCTAATCAATGTTTTCCACAGAAGACTAGTATCGTCAGCTCAACCCGTCACTGACCCAATTACAACCAAACGGAAAGAAGTTAACCAACAAAACGTGGAAGAAACCAACCTCGGCAGAGGTAGCCAGCAAGGTCGCAGGCTCGAGGGGCGGTGACGAAGGAGCTCCGCTTCGCCCCGCCCATCTTCCCCTCGGCGCGCCAGCCGTTTCCGAAAAGCCGGCGAAGGGAAACCGAATGACGTCACACCCGCCGCCCTGCTGACTCACGGCCCTTCCGCGCGCCCCGCTCATCCAGGGAGAACCCAAGGCGCCGCGCCCGCGGCCGGCGCTCCGTCACCCGGCGGCGGCCGAATCGGGCACGCGACCTCGCCTCACGCGCGCGCGGGGGCGGGTGAGCTCATCGCAGGTCGGCCTCTCCTCGCTCCTGCTCTTCGCTCGACCGCCACACAAGTTCACGGAAAATGAATTGTCCCCTTCGCGCGTCACGAAGCCTGGGGCAGGATTGGAAGATTTATGTCGGTCCGAATAAGCCAAATATGGTGCGTATAAAAAGTTCGTAACCGCAACCATGAAACAAAAATACAGAGCCACCAGTCGAAACTGGATATTGAACATTAATTTAAGAATATATTCTAACATTAAAAAGGTACGCGTATAGAGTATTAGTACAGGCACTTTAAACTGCCAAACGTATGATCTTTCGTGGGAAAAAGATATTACAATTTCTAGGAATTTGAATAGAAACCTCCCACTCCCCGCCTCCGGACAAGGGCCGCTCACAGTCTACCACAGCGCTGCCACGCAATGTTTGTCGCAATTGCCCGTCCACGATGCAACCCCCAAAACAGCACAGAATTTACTCCGGTGACTACCGTTTTATTGTTTGCTTGGCTACGGGAAACTGCAAGTGCAGAGAAACGTATGAGGAAATGATGTTCTCATATATTTTTAGTCCCTTTCTGCGTAACTGATCTTCATGAAGGGGCATCTTGCGGGAAATCGAAAGGAAAGAGAAAGGTCTGGCGAATAATTCAATGAGAATTCGATGATCAGATTTTAAAACAGCATAAATGTTTTAAGTTATTTTACAGGCGCTCATAATAACTACTTCGTAGAAATTCTATTTCTTCCTAATGTTTTCTTTCTTTCTATTGTTTACGCCCTGCTCGAATAATCTTGCGAGCTTTTAACACATGATAGGCATTAATTGGATTGTTGGTGAAGTAGATACCTTTTTATTATAATAAATAAATAAAGATATTGTCAGGTATCAATATTTTAATTCAACTTATGATCATTTCAATCGCGTTTTAGCTCTGAGGATGATCGCTACGCGATCGAAATGATCATAAATTGAATTAAAATATTGATACCTGACAATATATTTATTTAACATGATAGGCACTTGTTTAGCGACTTAAAATATAGTTCTTCACGTAAATGAGACTGTCTAGGTTTTAAAATCTGACCATAATATTAAGTTATAACATTTTATAAGGCACATACAAAAGTACCATAGTCAATATTTACGTACTACCATATTTATTAACGCTGTAGCACATCAGGAAGAATAAGCTTAGAGTTGCTGCTTACCTTCGAGGTTCGCCATGGAGAAGCGGTAGCTGTCGATGCGCGGGGTGTTGAGATGCGCCGGCGCGGGGGCCAGCGGCCGCAGCGTGGCTCCGCCCACGCCCACACCTCCGCCGCACCCGCTCTCCAGTCCCTGCAACACACGAGCGAGCGCCGTCAGCCAAGCGTCAGCACCGCGGGCAAGCTTCCACCTTGGCCGCAGCGGGTCTACATCAAACAACTTTCGGCCAGGACTTACAATACCCGACGCTCTGAATGCAACCCTTAATATTCACTACGAGTGTTTGCGTAATTCTCTAGGAAAGGGCAGGACATAGAACTGGTTGTAAAGAGCTAGCCCAACTGCAGTCCTGGTGGCTTGACTCTCAAAATCCCATTTTATACTGTTGTTCAGAGATATTTTACACACCGACCAGTACTTCTGGTCACTTTCAATTTCCTCTATTTCAAGCGAGTTAAGTCCTTCACATGAACTGCCACCACACCTTCGCATTCCATCTTTTCTAGTGTCACGCGTGGGAGGCAGGTATCTCCCATCATAACGCAACGTCAACGAGCCTTTGACGTCCCGCATTTCACCGACGAGACAGCGCACGTCGCAAAAAGAAACGATGAGCGCGCCGCCATTGGCAGTGCTCCAAAAAAAAGCAGCGAGTTTAGCGGGTGAAAAGGAAGTGCCAACGGGAGGCAGGGCGCCGCCCGCCGCGGGACAGGGTGCGGCGTTTTCAAGCATAATCCGCACGGGGCGGGGGCGCGGTGAGGTGGGGGCGGGCGCGTCGCCATGGACATCCGCGGCGGCGCTTCCCGTCCCCCGGACGTCGGCCGGCCGGGGTGGCTATCGGGGCGGGGCGCGGGACCCGGCGGCGGGAGGGGGCAGCGGATTAGGGGCGGCGGGCGGCGCGGGCGGCGGCGGGCGGCGGCGGCGGCGGGCGGCGGCGGGCGGGGCGGGCGGCGGCGGCGGCGGCGGGCCGCCAACGCGGCGCCGCGCGTGCCGCCGCATGGGAGCCGCGCATCGCCCTGGCGACGCGACGCCGTCGGACGCCGCTTCCGGTGCGCGCGCCCGCGCCGCTGCAAGCAGCAGCAGCAGCAGCCGCCGCGCCGCGAGAAGCGAGGGGAGGGGCACGGCGCGGCGTTGATGTTGCTGCTGCGGTTGCCGCCCTCGCTGGCGACTTCCCCAGTTCAGACCTCTTTCTCACGCCCGTGTGGCTGTCCTATGGGCAGCATTTTCTTTTGTGAATTTTAATGCATGAGTTCGTTCAATTAGCAACTGTTAAACGACCCAAGGAGTTGGTAAAGGGGCTGTCGCCGGGGGACCAGTTCTAGCTGATTGATGGCTAGTCTTGTAAGCTTTGGAAATCAATGAACGCATGTACGTGACCTATGGGCAAGCACTATGGTATCAAGGATGAAATTGCACATTGCAATGTAGCAATAAGTTAAGCAGGAGACGCGCTAGGGGTCGGTGTATTGCTCGAGAATCTGTGTCTGTTGCAGCAAAAGTCGCTCTAGCGACTACCTGTATTGTAAGAAAATCTAATAGCGTAAACCAGCAGTGTCGTACTGACGCTGGGTACTGCGAAGGTCGTACGGCAATTACTGCAGCCCTTGTTGAATATACTAATGAAGACTCAAATATCAAGAACATTCCAATTCAGTGAACTCCAACTTCGTATCTTCCACACGAAACGATTGCGGACAAAGCACGATTAGGCAACGGACAACTGACGCAAGGAAGTAATAAACAGTTATTAAATGCACCTCGCTCGCGTTTTTATCAGCACAGCCTCGCACCAATCCAGATTATATCACCAAAGAAGGCAAGGGTAAAGCAACATCGGGAGGCTCTAAAAGGAACCCTCTCTCAGGACTCCTCTCCCCTTTTGAAGTTCGACCAGCCCTCGCGCCGTATGAATCAAGGCGCAGATCCTGTCATTAAAAAAACCCACGTCATAACGCGCAATGCATATACTATAACGTACTATTAGACCATCGTTGTTCAACGGCAAATCCAAAGGCGGCGTACGAGGCGGGGAGGGGGGGGGGGGGCGTAAACCGCTAGCTCTTTCTGTACGACCCCTTCCCTACCTGCAGTCGTACACGACCGCGACGTACTATGACGCGCGACGCCCGCGAGCGGAACTTCACCGGAAGCGACGGATGGGCGGGTGGGGGGGGGGACAGGGTTCATCGCTTCCTTTCCATCGAGAGAGCTGCTCCTTAGGTTCCCGGCACGAACACCGCTGCATGTGCGGACGAGGGGGGGGGGTGCGGCTCTTAACCCGCCGAGTGCCCTTCCATTTGGGAAGTGGGAAGCGCTTACATGAGAGGGTGAAACTTTCTACGTTACGAAACTGAATAACGTTTGTATCAACATTATTCTTAAAGACAAAAGGCTGCCCTAAGGAGGGGAAAAAAGTTTCTTGATTATTCCGAACTACGTAAGCAAAGATGTCAAGATAGCATTTCCCCTCGTCTGATACCTACTATTCTTCATTGTTTCCTAAATCATACGAATGCGTGAATATTCAGTTTATTTCCGAGGGACGAGGGACAATAAAGGTCAAGAACCTCTGATTTAGAGCTGTAGCACTGGCATCGTTCGGTGTCAAGAGTCGCGTTTTATTGCCCATTATTTGCGCCAACGTCCCCGCGGCTAGACGCGTTTCGTTCAGCGAAATAGACGTCATAGGAGAGCGGCCCCGGGGGAAGCTCAATGGTTGCGGGTGCGGGTGCGGCGCGGCGCTCGCGGAAGCGCGCATCCGCCGCGGGAGATAGCGCCGCGGCGCCCCACCAAAATAACCTCCTCCTCCTCCTCCTCCTCCGCTCCCCGCCCCGCCGCCGAAGCCACGGCCGCCTGCATCGCCGATCGAGGGACCGGCATGGCGCCTTCCGGCAGGCGGGGCGCGCCCGGCGCCTCCGATCCGCTGCGTCTCTGCCATCATCGGCGCACTCCCCCCTCCCTACCCACCCCCTTCATGTTGCTCATTTTGACGACGACCTACTTCCAAGACGATTCACGGCTCGGCTGCGGCGTTAAAGCGAGTTACAATTGAAGCAAAGATGAACTGGTTCTTTGAGGCCCGTTCCGAGATACCATCCATTGCTCAAACGACGTAATTCCACGTAGGAGGGAATTTCAGCAACCGTCCCCACGCGACTTACGGTGACAACATCGTAACTGAAAGTTGCATCACGGCACCACACACCACAGACGAGAAACGGCCTCCTAACAGAACGCGAACTTCGGCACACTGCGCAAGCAAACGCGCAAAAACAATATGGTGTGGTTACCGTTCGCCAGTCATTTCCGCGGCTGCGAGCGGGCGTGAGAGCGGCGGGCGCGTCGAACGCCATGGCTAATTAGAGGGCGTGGGAGGCAGGCGCATGAGTCGCGGGCGGTGCCCTGCGGCCGGACAGGCGTCAACGCCTACGCCAAGCTGGGCTCCCCTCTGGCCCCGTTTCCCAAATACACGCACGCGCACTCGCACCACTCTTGTAATTTCTGCTCGATGGCAGTCTTCCGTCCTCTGGGCGAAACCCTTCGGAATCGATACTCGACAAGTAGTAGATCATCTCGAAAGTTTTTATTCTCTGCATTCACTTTTGTTTTAGAAACAAACTACTACTACAACCTTTGAACTTAGAAACAACAGCTGGTGTGATAAGTCTGGAGCGTAGTCCAGACCAACCGACGCGAGCAAACTGAAAACAACGTTCCAATGACTTCAAATATTTGTATTGCCTCAAATTGATTTAAGAGAATAGAACTTGAATATTCTATAATTAATTTTCCACGCGAAGTGCCACACCATACACAATTACTCCCGCGTGTCAACAGCCGCATTCAGGGCAAATGGAGCAGCAGGCAGCGCCGACGCGAGCTGCGTCAGCCAGGCGGCGGCACGACTCTTTCAGATGCTAATTGCCCATGATGACGCCTCCAAAGATCAAGAAAACCGCTCGATCGTCTGTAATGAATATCTTGCAGAGATCTCACATCTGAAACGGAACAGCTCCCTAACTACTCATTCAATTTACAAGGCACAGTTAGAAAACGACTGCACCGAGGCGTTAAATTACAATTACGAACTCGCTCTTCTAACGACCCCAAGATCCAAGTTCTTACCCACCAACTCAATAACCTAGTCTGCAAAAACGGTCAGCAGCGATGTATTATGCTGAATACGTACTAACATTAAGAACATTGGTGATTACCTTTACTTTTTTTCATCCGAGTGTTTCCACGAATATCAATGTCATTCCAATAATTGTACACCAAAACACTTATTGATAAAAAATAACTCTCCGATAAGAACAACAAAGACGCGCAACTTACTCGCCTCGGTTTCCGGTCAGCAGCGACTCGCGCCCCCTTCTGCGCGGCGGGGTGCCCTCACGCACAGCGCGGCAGCGGCGCGGAGGCGGCAACGCCGCCCTCATCTCCGCGCGGCCTCCGGCGTCTTATCACGCGCGATAAGCGGCGAGCAGAGGCCGCCGCCGCCGCCGCCACCCCCCGCCCCCGCGACCGTCCTCCCGCGCACTGCGCCCAGGGAACACCTCGAGACGGCGCAAACAGCTCGCGACTGCAGGTTAAGGCTGCTTTACACTTGCGGCAGTCGGTTAATCCCGAGCAACCGATCGCCGAATCCCTAGGGGACGGATTGCTTGCGATTCGCAAAGTTACGAACGTTCGGTATTCGCCCTACCCACCGCGTGTCGGTCTTTAGGACACATCAAAGGGAGCGAACATTCGCCGAACACATCAGCTGTTCGGGATTTGGCGAGCAGAAGCTCGCTGCTCGGCGAATGCCGAATGTGTGGAGCCGCCGTTACGCGACGATCGGCGTGATACGACGGTCGGGAATGCAGCGAGGATCCGACGAATGGCCGAAGCCGCACGTGCACGTAGCGCTTGACAACTTCCATGCCATATAATTGGACAGCAGAGCATTCCAGCAAGAAGTCCGTATAGCAGGTTCATTTAACGTCATCTGTTCCTTGTAGCTCCGATATTCACGCTTCGCGCGCCCCCGGGGTGTCCGCCACCGGAAACGGAAGCGCTCCACCTCCTCGGTCTCAGGATGTACTTACGCTGAAAACCTTACATGTAGTATGTTAAACGACCAGGAAGTGTAACAGGTTTCTCAGCAAGGTACACAATAATCCAGATCGCAAAGCTCGTTCCCTTGGCGACGCGATACTAAACATCCTCTACCGTTCCGTTCTGCGAGAGGCGAGTCGGCATTTCGCTTCGGTGGCGTGCGGGGCCAAGGCCTGGCTGACAGACGGAGCGCCGGGCGAGAGGTGGAGCAGGGCCGCGCAACACACAGCGGCGGCGGATATGCACCGTTGCTGGTGCTCCGGCGACGCTGCCGCATCTCGCGCCAGCCGCGTCCCGCCGCGCCGCGCCCTGGGTAACGGGACGG